TTGGTTGTCTGGCATTTCTAGATGTCTGGAGGCATTTTTAGAGCACAATAGGCGAGATACACTCAAGATAGTTATAGTTATAAATCACACAGAGAAATAAAGGCACTTTATATATGAATCAAAGCATATAATATTTTTAATGGATGCAAGTTTTAGGAATGCCTCTCTGCTGTGGTCCAGGAGTCAGAGCAGCAAAGCAACATCTGAGCCTGGAGTTTAGTTCTACTTCTACGACAGGTGTTAGCTTTCTGCCTCCATTTCCTCCATAAAACAAGGATAACCTTTTTCCATATTAAAATAAAGCTATCATTATCTGTTTGAACTGCAGAAGAGCCTACAAAAGTCTCTTGGATGAGGTCCTTATTACACTAGATGCTGTACAAACACAGAACCACATGCTATTATAATGTGGGAGTGGCATGCTATTAATAATACATAAGGACATTTTGAAATGATTAAGCAAAAGAGTTATTTTAAAATTCTCATTCATTTCCTCCATTTAAAATAGAATGAAACTTGAACGAATAGGTAAGGAAGCTATTTGCAGAATGCCGAAACATCCTTCTGGCTCTGTGAATACATAAATGGTTAGTCTGCAGAGTAAAGCAGAAGTAACCAGCAATGACATGTTCTTGTACTGACTCTGTCACTTATGTTACCTTTAACCCTTTTCAAACCAGTTCATTTCATTGGGGTTCAACTTATTTGTCACTCAAGTGGATTCGGGGACCTAATATGGTTCAATTAAAGAAGACTTAGCCTAGAGAGGATTTAACTGTGTTTAAGGGCAGGAATCATTATTGCATTTTATAGACCTGGGAAGTGGGGGGAAATTATAATTTATTACTTATGCGCAAATTTGACATTATTGTTAACATATATTCCCCCAGAGCCTTGGATGGACATATTTTGGAAAAATCAAATCAATAAGTGATTTAATATCTGTCAAGTGCTTTGGGATCTTTATTTGAAATGAGTGTTAGAAGAGCAATATCTTACTCTCAACTCCTTAGCGTGCAAGCATGTCTTCTATTAATACGAGAACCCTTTGGAACCATTAGAGTTTATCAGCTAAATACATATTTTGGCACATTAACTAATTTTTGATTACCCAATTAGACTTTAACAGCTCCATCTATCATGTAAATTTTTCTTAATGTGCAGATTATGGACCCAATAGAACTTAATGGAGCTCCTTACAGTGTTCTGAGTCGATGCAGCTGGCACATGGACACCAACGAAAGTATTTGCCTCCAAAGTGAGAATTACACACCTATCTTCCCATGTTGCTAATGGGCGTTATGGCCTAAATCATCCCTGGGCACTGAAACAATACAAGAGTCCCAAATGAGATCAAATTTATACCACTTTATATGTTGGCTCTCACATATCTCCACTTCTGCCCTTCCATCTTAAAATCACATCCCCAACAGTCAACTGAGTCTCAAGTACACAAATCAAAACCCAGGGCCATTTGGCACCTACCCCATGGTAAACTATGATAGTCACCAGCAGGCTACCTAGTGGATAGCCATGGCTGTGAGAAGCTGCTGGTGACATCTGCTTCCCTAGGGCATAGAGAGGCATGCTGGGGACAGTGCCTACGTGCCATGTGCTGCTCGGCACATTCACTCCCACCCCACTGTCTCCCAGAAGACAACACTCAGGCAGCCAAACTCAGCCCTGGGTCAGGACTTTTCCTCTCCCTCTTGCATAAGTACTGTGCTATTTATCATGTTGAGTCTTCCCCAATATACTGTCCCCGTTCACATCCCACTCCCCAAGCTCTTTTCCACTATCTGCCTCTGGGATGGAATGAATTACACATTTCGTGATGAAAACATGGATGCTTAAGAGCTGCCAAAAGAAAGAACATTACTCAGATCACTGGGACAACAGCTCCACAGTTGATAGTCAGAACAAAGCAGTTGGTAGAGAGAGAAAAAAAAAAAAATTAAGTAGCAAATCTGCCTCCTTTAGTCCAGAGACTTAATGCATGGTCTGGGTTTAATGCTAACCATGTCTGCCAGAAGACTGAATACAGAACCTCTGCTCAGAACCCACAAATAATTAACTGTTAGAAATTAAATGCAGAGCTATAGGATACATTCTGCTCTGATGGCTTTACACCTAGATCTGCCAAAATCACCAGCTACATATGTAAGGAACAGGGGGTTTGGTGGGCTGCCTCCTCTGCTGAAAACTCATCAAACTACTGGCATTTAGAAGTAAGGCAGATTAAAACCAATGAAAATAAAGGCTACATTCACACTCACAAGAACAAATACTTCCCATGCTAAAGGAAACACTTATAAAGTTATCTAATGCACCATTAATTGATGTCATTTTTTGAATCATTTCTCTCAGCCTATACACTGAAACTAGTTTCAGCCGTTCCCCAGTTAGTTTCACTTTCTTTCTTTCCCTCTTCCTCAAAAGCTGTAAGTACGATACTGGAATGCTTTTATATCACCAAAATAATTCAGTTAGCATTCCTTTTTTACGAGAAATTCCTTTTCTATTGCTTCTGCAAAAAGTAATTTTTTAAAATGTTGTTTGTTTCCTTACAATGCTCCTTTAATAAAGCATGATTGCTCCTCTTAAGGAAATAAGCTTTCTTTTTCTGCATATGATCTCACCCTGTCAGTGCTTTCATTATTTTCCTGCACAAAGTCCTTCCCTGATGTCTTACTCGTAGCAGCACTCGTTGGGGGGGAGCATGCATCCAGCCTGTCCTGCTGCCGCCGGCTTCTGTCAGATGATCCCTCCTCTCTGTCTGGAATGGATTTCGGAAGAGATCTACCTTGAAGGTAGTTTAATGTCACTTAAAAAAACCTCCTAAATAAACAGACATCTTGTAAGTGCTGCTTGAGAAAATATTAATATTGCTGCTAATGCAGAGATTGGGTTAATTTGTTTCTATATTCTGCATCCTGCCAGACAGCCTCCTGACTACCACTCAGAGAAGTGTACTTCTTCTCAGAAGAGACAGTATGCAATGCTTTGCTTAAGGAAAAGGGAGATTTACCCTGCACCGCAGTTCTCAAACAAGGTCCTTTCTCCTTGAGTACCAAATCTTGTTTCCTGTGACGGAGCCCAGAGAGCTTAACACAGAGGCAGCCGGTCCCAAAATCCTGTCATCAAGAGCTGCCAACCAACCCGAGGTGCTCAGAGCCCTGCGTGCTCTGCCTCCCTGAGGAGCAGGCCCTGAGCAGGCGTATTAACATCATCAGCTACGTCAGCAGTGAAAGAATAATGTGATTTTTGTGTAAACAATGCTAGTAAAAAATCATAACAACAAAAACCACAAAGCAGCTACTGTTGAGGGGAGAAAATGAAACGTTTTTTTATCTGTGTATTTAGATGATTACCTCTGCTGTGATAACTAAAGAACTTACTGCTTATTCATTCCTGTGCTGCAAAAAAAATCTCCTGTGTTGAGATCATACTCTTGGCTTTTTGCTATAAAGTTCACTTTTTTCTCAATCATCACTCTTACCTAACTTATTTTTCCATTTTGTTTTTGGGAGCTGTCCTTCCTGACAGAAACTCTGGGTGCCTGAGCAGGTATATTTCTTTTACTATGCTTTGGCTGCATGAGTTAAAACAAATGAAGGTATACATTTTTAATCACACATGGGAACACTTCAGCTATGCCAACCTGTGTTCCTCTTTTTTTTTTTTTTTTCTATTTATTTGCAAACATTACAGGTTGTGCTAAGACGCTCTCTGCTGTTCTTCAGCTACAATGTACACCCATAAAATGTGTGTATCTTAACTGAACAGCCACAAACTGAACGCAGGTGACGGTACCTGTGCTGCCAACTCCTGCTCTGTACAGCCACCCATGCAGCTCGAGGGACAACACCAAGATTGGGCTTGCAGTTGTGTCGAACTGTGGACACTGGTTGTTACAAATCAGTTGTCTCATGAAAGGGACATTCCTCGCGGAAATCCCAGGGACTGGAAATCCATCCCACCGCTGCTGCAGCTCAAAGTACAACTGTAATATGTTTGGCATACAAAGAGTGGTAGGAACCATTTTAAAAGTTTGTCTGATGTTTTAAGATTTGATAATGAGCACAAAGTATCACCCACTTCTCAGTCAACAGGTTAAATGCGGTCCAGGGGTGATAATTACAGTCATTTCTTCTATGGTAGTTATGCCAAATTTACACTATTCCCACTGAAGTAAGCGGCTCAAAAAGAAAAAAAACCCCACAACTATAATTTCAGTATTTAAGAGTGAGATTTTTGGGTTGTTAAGCATTACAGAATCTAAGCTTTCAACAGTAATTTTATCACTGAACTCAGAGCACTGTATAGCAACCTTGAGAATCCAGCTGTTCCCCAACCCTGAAAGTGTCTAAATGCAGCATGTTTTTCCATTCTAACTTGAAAGTCCACATAACCTTAGAACTGCATCTCTACTCACAACCCAGTTTATCCCTCTGCAAAGGACTGGATAATGTAACATGCAATATTCACCAAAATCTACCTGGAGCCATAAAATACCTCTTGCCTAAGTCCCTAAGCAGCAGTACCCATGGTGTCAGGCTAAAGGGAGCACTCAACATCAGGGTCAGCATTTATTCTCATGCAGAAAACAACTCATTACTGCTTGTGTCCAAAGACATCATCTTGTTCCTCCTGTGACAACTTGTTTCATGTAAAATAAAACTCAGAAACTTTCATCAGTTGCTCTCCCTTCTCTCTAAGGCAGGAGGGTGCTCCAACTCAGCACAGTCTGTTCCTAGAGAATCTGAGCACTATGTGAAATGCCAAATTCGTGCATAAATGCTAAGCATCATCACTGGACTGACCTGTAAGGTCTTTACTACCTCTGGAGTCAGGGACTTGGTCTAGTATTTCTGGGTGGCCCATAATTACTTTTTAAGTTATTCTCTTTACTGTGGCATCTGCTGTACCATTTAAAATGGGTTTATGGGTAAAACATATAGAATGCAATTATGATTTAGACATTTTCACATCTCATTTACATATCTTCCATCCTACCCCATATCAGACATCATCTTTTATTTCTTGGATTATCATATAAACTTCTCAAGTACTCAACACCTCCTTCACTGTTTTAGCGCAGTACACCATACAGTCTTCAGGACATGAGGTGCTAACTACCGCACTGTGCACAATCGCAGTCTCAGTGTGGAATGTCTTGCTTTAATAGAGAAATAAAATGATATAAGGTCATAAGCTAAGACTATCATAAAGTGCATTGCAGGTACCCTATACTTAAAAACTCCCATGCTGCCTCTTAACTATAAGTGAGGCAATTTGCCTAATGCCTATAGAAGTGACACAATTAATTCCCCTCCCTTAAATAATCCTACTCTTTCCTCTCTAACGTGCCTCTGTAAAAAGAATGTTTACTAAATAAAAACAAATTTTTAGAAAACCATATTCTTAAAATCTGTAGCATTAGAAATGCCATGAGTCTAAAATGAAATTTAGAAAGTCCTTTGTTCAGTGTGTTCAGAAAATCACTGGAGACCCCTTTCTCTCTGAAATGGAAATGAAACCCCACAGCAGTGTTATGAACACTGTAAACACACTCACTGGACTGTATGAAAGTGGCCTCAGCCATAAACAGCAACCTCAGCATCTTTCTGTTCATGTTTCCTGCAAAGGAATCAACAACCTCCAAATTAGTCCTCCAAATTAGGATTTGAACCTTTCTGTCCTGATAGTGCAGCTCTTCCATGTTATGCGTCAGTGTGGGCTAAGTGAAAAAGGGTCCAAGAGCATCACTTGTATCTGAGAGGGTATTAAAATTTTTAAAAAATAATCTTAATTTGAACCATTTCCCAGAGGGAGTATCAAAGTACAACATACTTGTGGCCAAGAGCATGGACCTCTTGTAGTACAGTTAGAAAGCTGTAAATACAGTACTTATTCCTCAATCATATCTTCAAAAAACTAGGAGAAAAAAACCCCAAACAACTACCTCTTTGTACTGAACTGTACAAACCCAGCCTAAAATACCAGTACCATCATCTTCTGAAGGAAGAATGTTGGTATATCAAGTAAATCATTCTTAAACCGGATCATTGCCTTTCACTGTGTACCACAAATGTCAGCTAATAAAAATAAAAGCAAAATTTCTTCTGGAAAAAGTAGGAATAATAACAAAAGTTATACTGTTATGACACTGACACAGTTGTTTTACACAAGAAGGGAAAAAAAAAATCTGAGTTACTTCACCTGAAAAACATGGAGTCCCTTAATCAACAAGTGCCGGATAGTAAATATATTACCTGAAACTTCACTCAGTCAAAAGGATGAGAAAAGGAAAATAAGAGTATGTTAGGTGTATATTCGCATTTGCTACTACATCTTAGATATGGGAACTGCAATGGCAGTTAAAACATCAAAGCTAACAGTAGGGTCACTACTTCTGGAAATGCAATTACTTTCGCTGTATAGTTCATTATTAAGCAGGATAAACTATGCCTGCCATGTGCAATCACTAGTGAAAATGATGAGCAAAACACAGGGATTTTACAGTATAAATTAACATTGGTTCTGCAACTGCCAGGCAAAATTTTGCCACCAGCTTCAGCCAGTGTAGAATCTGCCTTCAGATCTTGATAGAAATGAAGTTTCAGTAGTTTACCACACCCAAGTGGATGCTGATTCTTTCCAAGGCCTTTTACTGGAGAGAGGTTTTATTTCAGATGAGCAATTAATCTGTTTTGCTTTTGACCCACTAGTAAACAAACTGGGAACGTGCTACCTTTTCACAACCATGATACTTAAGCATATGGTTATCAAGGCACAGGACACTGGGCTAGGAGTGTTGTTAAGGTGTCTTGATGCCTTTTGTCCTCCTCTTGTGCCCTCAGGAAGGACCATCTATGCCTGTTTCTGAAAAATTTTCAACAGAAGAAATTCCACAACAGCCCAAGTTGACTTTCTCCAGTGTTTTATCTACCTTAGAAGGTCATTGCTAATACCTAATCTAAATTTTGTTTGGTTCCGTTTAACAAATTACTTTCCATACCCTCCTGTTTCTCATCATGGAGAATAAATTACTGACTTTCTTTTCCAACAGCCTTTTGTATTCTTACAGCCCATTGCCATGCTGTCCCTCAGAGATCTCTTTTTCTGGCCAAGCACCCCCAATATCTTCTGTATTTCCTGACAGGGTCACATTTCCTCGCTCTCTTATCACCCTCATTGCTTTTCCTTTGGACTTTCACCAAATTCTCTGTAGCTGATTTGGGGTGTGCCTCCCAAATCTGCGCTTAGAGGTATAGCTGAGCTCCTACCAAAGGCGTGAGGAGCAGAAGTCACTCCCTACTACTCATGGGCTATATTTTGTATTGCACCATCATCACTTGTTATCAAGAAAAGCTCTTAATTTCAACATGAATATTTCTTCTGCCAGCTTCACAACAACTCTTAGATTCACTAGAACCTTTAACACTGTAAACAGTATTAAATTAGAAGTCACACTTAATTGGCTGTCTTGACTTAGCCTACACCCCAAAATGACAGAACACTTCAGGGTTACTCCTAGAAATACATAAACACAGGCATGTACACAGCCCAAGTACAATTAACAGACACTTAATCTAGTCTGTATACAGATGTGGATGTACAGAGATAAATAATCTAGAGATATAATATAAACACCCACACACTGAGTAGGTCTGTAACTGAGAGGTTTATCTACATTATTAAGAATACCACAACTTTTTCAGCACCAAAAAGAGGGGAAAAAATTAGATAGCTAAATATAATCACAGCTAAAATCAGATTCTGTTCTTTTGTAGTCCTGAATCTACATAAATTTATATGTGGAAGAGACCTTTAGCATGTCTCACTTCCTGTTCCTCCTCCATGAAAACAGGTTCAACTCCTCTGAAGTCAGCCAAAACGTATACATAATGTAAATATGTGTGTTTGTCCATGTGTGTGTATACCCAGGGTAAGTGTGAGTAGAATAAGGCCCCTTGTTGACTCAGGTCTTGCAGGTAGTTGCAATAACAGAAAAATAAGAAAACTAATATACTGTAGTTACCTACCATGCAATAAATATGTAATTATACTGTAATTACAGTACCTGATTATTGATGTACTGTAAAATAAACGGTTATCAAGGTTTTTTTACGGTTCCTTTCTATTTACAGTCATCTCTGATAAAGATTAAGCTTCCCCAAAAATGCATGATAAAGCTTCTTATCAGAGGTTTTAATGCCTCTAATAACTACTGTAATTCTGTGTGATTTAGTGCTTTGAATAATCCACCAGGATTTTTTCTCTAGATCTTTAAAAGGATTGTAATGTGTACAGAGGTGTCGTAGTGATTAAATTTACAGGACACTTACCAAAACAGTGATAAGACGGGATGTTTAATTAACACATGTACACGTTGTTCAACTGTACTATCATGCAAAAATGGAAAGACCTGAATGAGACCCCTATTTTCCCATCAAAATGTTGTAAAAAAAATTAAACAAAGGATTATCCTCACTATACAATATAGAAGCAAACATTCTGAGGGCAACAGCAAATCCAGGCAGCACCTAAGAGTGGTACCAGCCTAGTGTTGCGTACTGGGTAGAGCCAAGGTCCTGGTAGCAGTTGGATGCTCCAGAGAGAAAGGAAAAAGTAAGTCGTATATGGCAGTACATGAGAATTCACCAGAGTTTCGAGATGTCATTCCTTTCACTGGTGGGTAGTTCAAGGACATTGCAGTTCTCTTCAGCTATAATGCCTGAAAATATCAATGCTTTTAAGGCTCATTGACAAAAGTCATTGTAGAAAACCAGCTGAAGGTTACCTTATCAGATGTTTTTAAACTCCATGTCTCAGAAAGGCACACAGGCACTCTAGAAAATCCCTTTTCCCTCCATCAGTAGATTTACTTAATGGCCAAGGCTATCCCTTATTTATATAACAGATAAGTAAATTTAACTAAAGCAAAGAAACGCCCCAGCAGACTAAACCCCAACAGAAAAGGGCAGCAGAGTCAACCATATAGTGAGAAGTGGAAGAGAACCTTTATATCTCTGAGGACTCTTTTCACTTTAACTTCTACTGACATTTTGTCCACTGTGATGCTAACAAAAAAAAAAAAAAAATTGATAGAGAGATCTAAAGGTGTTATCATATCCGATCAAAAGACGGAACAGAAAAGTCAAGAAGCTCATGCAACCCATATTCCCACCGGGGAAATAGTCCTTTTAATATTCGAATTGTTTGTACTTTGAAATGGAAATCTCAACATCTGCAAGTGCAGCTGAAGTAGAGTTCACTCGTGGGCAAGTGCCAGGTAGTAACAGGGCATGAGAACAGACTTTGGCTCCATGAATGGAAACATAAACCTCTCCTTTGTAAAAACGATTCTTAATGATCTCAAACGTCTCCTGGTTTAGTATGGAAGATGAGTGCCACTTTTCTTTAGAATTAATCCCACGTATTTTGTATCACAGTCCTGGCACAGGGCTACAAAGATGAAATCATTCCTTGACCATCATTATGGCCATGCCTGCTCTGATCCGCAGTGCTGTGCGGGGGCACACAAATCCTGGAAATGGTGTAACTGCCTTATTACTGTGTTCTGCACAGGCTTTTATACCCTGGTTCTCAGCAAGACTAATTATTCTAAAAGAAGCATCACACTACTGCAATTATCCTGCTCCCAAAACCTGAGTTACATCATTTAGGACACTGTGCTTCACTATTCTGGCACATCCATGGAGCTTTATTTTTTGCCACAAAGATTTTTACTGGGGGAGAAAAAGTTAACAGGAACAATCTCAGAGATCATGAACAAGATAGAACACTTAAATATAACAGGAATATGAAATAGGCACTGAGGGAGTCAAAAATCACATGCTTCTGAGTCTGACTATTTATTTACCTGGCACATAGGACTGCTTACCTGCATAATCCTTTCTTTGCAGCAGGTAAAGGTGAAGGTGTGGGAACTTCCTTCTTTCTTTGCTGGCAGTATTAAATGAACAGCTTGGGATGGGAGACTACAGGAAGATTTTATTTCTCATCTCCATCATCAATAAATTACTAAGGTAGCTTTCAGGACTCTTGGAGGGTGCTTGAAACCTATACCCCTTTGGCTGGCTACTCTCTGGATGGACCAGAATACATGATGCCCTCTTGCATAAGGCTGTAGTCCTTCTAAAGGAGAAGAACTGACTTTTAAAACAAAATATACAAGTTTCTCCTGTATTACAACCTCCTCCTACTCTTCCCTTCCTGAGAAAGAATTCATAGTAGTAATCATTTAATGTCCCTAGTAAGGGAGACGTTGACAAATTAAAAAAAAAGCATCTACTCAGTGATTCAGAAACTAGCAGACCAACCTTAGTCATTTTCTCTCTCTCATTAATTAATCAGAAAATTTCCCAACATTTCCACATATGCCTGTTTTTTCCTTCTTTGTCCAGCAAAACTAAACTTCTGATTGTAACAGTTAACCACTTTTCGTTATGTTTCAGCATTAGATGGAAAAAAATTAGATTTGCAGCTGAGAAAGAAGGGTGAGGGGGAGAAAAAGAAGAAAGAGAGAAAGAAAGAGAGAAAAAGAGAAGAGTCAAAGGGGGAAAGAGGGAAGGAAAGAAAGAAAAGGTACTGCCCTTTCAGTCAAATGACTTGGAGATAGTCATCTTCAGACCTGTGAAACCAAATGATTTGTGAAACCTTGAGAAACCTTGTTGATCCAGCCAGCTGCATGGAGGGTGGTCCTGTACTTGGGTGAAATGATCTGGTTTAACTCCCCCTAAGCAATCCACCATCTTGAAGTTGATAATTTCAAAAGTCCAATATTTATGTAAGCATGTCC